GCTGTCCAAACCTCCTTTGGCCAATCATCTTTGGACAGGTGAGTCTTCAAGGCTTGGTCAAAAGTTCACCAGTAGATGGAGGCAACGAGCCAGCAGCAACCAGGCATTACAGAAAGAAAACTGCAAAACTACAAAAGAAGAAAGGCAGTACAGGCCTGAGGCCGTAACACTGAAACACCGCCCCTGTTGGTTGTTTCAACCAATCAGGAAGTACCAAGTGACCGGAAGTGAGTACTCTTTTAAAAGTCATCACTTCCTGGAACTATTCAGTCTTCTGAGTCTTCCTACAGTCTTCTGAGTCTTCTTGAGTTTTTCACCGGAGTCTTCCACTTCTGAGTGGAACTTTGGATTCAGTCTTCCTGGAGTCTTACTCAGTTTTCCTGAGTCTTTCTTGGGACTATGGAGTCTTCCTGAGAGTTCCCAAGGAACTTTCAGATTTAATCAAAAGCTGATGGATTTGACCGTGAGACGAGGGTCCGTCCATCCCAGCTGGAGTCACAGCGCCTCGCTGTGAACTCACCCGGGCGTAACGCCCTACAGCTTCGAAGGAAGCTTGTTCTGTTGAATGGAGTAAAACCCACACGACTTCTGACGATGACCAGCCACCCTGACCGGAGACGCTGTACAGGTAGCGTGCATAGGGACATCTATACCGGAGCTGATCCATCCTCTGCAAAGGTAAAGGGATGTCACGATTTGTTACGCACTAAGCGGACTGGGGGTTTGAGCTGGTGTTGAAAGAAGCGTGCTAATTCTGGTCAACAAAACATACATCTACCTTCCTTCATCTTCCTTTAAACTTCTCCTTCCTTCCCTTAAAACTTTTATTTTGCCAGTAATCTAGATGCCTCAATCAGTAATGTTCTGTTGTCTTGTTAGTAAAGCGTGCCAAGTTTGTATTAATCAGAAACAGGTCAGCAAATCAATGTGTACATGTCTTGATGTTAAATTTTGATTCTGTTAAATAAATGACCGCATTTATTCTCATGGGTCAAAGAAAAATGGTGTCTCATGTCATTGATTAAACAATCCTCAGTTATCTCAGTCACATGGCATTAATTTGACTCGAAAAAGAAAGAATCCGTTGTATTTAAATAATTAATATTCTTTGTGCTTGAACTAGCTTTAAGAATAATTAATTAGTAGTGAAGCTACAGAAAAGCTGTCCCTGCTTCTCTACACCCTTTAAGCGTCGGGCCTCACTGGCTCCTAAATGGCTGATGAAAAAGCTATTTGGGAGCCGATTACCCGCTCTTAATGTAATTTATACGTACTGAGTGGGACCCACGCAACAGGTGGGCGTGGACTAAAGTTTTCAGTGCGATGCTTTGCATGACGGGATAAACCCCGCCAGCGACAGCTCTTAAAGGACTACGCCTATACTCATAGAATCTGGGGTTACAGTAGGTAATCAACGTTTTAGAGCAGGGTGTGTGAGAATAGAGATACAGGAACATATCTCAGCCGTGCGCTGTCTGAACCAACTGTTTTTTATTTTGTTATTTTTGGCCGGTGGGGGGAAAGACAGACGCACATCTGAGCCATGCGCCATTTGTACCGACAGTTTTCGAGTGGCGGGGCTGCGTTCAGCATGAAGGAAGAGGCTGCTTTTGGCTTTTTAGCCAGTGCACCTACTTTGCGAGCCGCTAGTTTAGCGTTATGTCATTGCCGACTGGTGGGTGGGGGGTGGGGTTCGGTAGACAGGGCGCTCGGTTCTGTTGACGGGGCGTGGCGCCCCGCTTGTATAATGGAAGGGGAAACAATGAGTAAATTGGAATTTTGATGTCCAATTCTGCGATTTTGTCCAAATTTTCCACATAGTGGGAAACATAGTCTGTTCTAATCAATTAAAATTATCACAGTGAAAAATCTGTAATATTCAGTTGCATGTTAAAGAGGCAGTTCAGTTGTTTTTAGTTTTGATTTGTTTTTTGAAGTAGTGTTTTGAGGAGTTGTTATCCGTAATATCACTTCCTGTGGTTAGTCAACTAATTTAAGCATAATTTCTTTAAAGGGATATTTTACTTTTATGGGGTAATTGATCCATATCCTAAAAGTCTTGACTCAAAGTTTTTGTTTTTTTCTTTTGCTTTTGTGCTTTTCAGATAACATCCACTAATTACACATCAGTGTTGAGTTGACAAGTCATGGCCAGCTGGCATTCATGAAACTGTCAGAATGTCTTCAGTCCCAGGGCTTCCTACACGAGGATCAAATGTAACAGTTCTTATAACCAGGGTTCACTTGCATCCATTGTGTGTGCTGGTGGAGTTCTGGGGCAAATTTAGTCAGGAGCGGATAACAGATTATGAAAGTCTAGCAGAAGACATTCAGTCTCCTGGAGCCACATTTAAAGATCTAGAGGGAAATCCTGGCGATCATTGCTTGGCTCAGATAGATAGTACTTGGTACAGATCACGCATAGTTTCAAGATGTGGCTCGGAATATAGCGTGCTTCTCATTGACAAAGGTATAACATACGCTGCCAACACAAGCAAGCTAGCATGGGGCAAGACGGAGTATTTTCAACTGCCCCCTGAAGTGGAGTTTTGTGTATTGGATAATGTATTACCACTCTCACCTGAGAATAGATGGTCTCCAGTGGCCCTTGAGTTTCTCCAATCTCTCCCTGGGAAGTCTGTGACCGCACACATCCAAGATGTGCTGGTGTCACCCCAGACATTTCTCCTGCACATTCCTTGCATATCTAAACAAATGTATGAGATGGGACTTGCAAAGAAGTTGTCTCCGGTAACCTTTCAGGAGGTTGTTCTCAAGTCAATAAAGCCCCACAGTGAAGCTGAAACCTCTCCAGAGATTCAGCAGGTCACTGTAGGATCAAGAGAACAACTGCACAAACAAGATCAGTTCATGTACCCAGAACTGCCAGGGGCAACAGCAGAGATTGTCATTGTGACAGAAGTGACAAATCCACTAAGGATTTTTTGCCAGTTAAAGGTTTTCTCACAAGAGCTAAATAAGCTTTCTGTGAAAATTACACAGAACTATGAAGGTAGAGTGTCCAGTTGCATTGTAAGCAATGACATGATTGGGTTTCCATGTGCAACAAGAGGAAGTGATGGCAAATGGTACCGCTCTGTCCTACAACAAGTTTTTCCAACAAATAAACTGGTGGAAGTATTGAATGTGGACTATGGAACAAAGCAAGTAGTTCAAATGGAGAATGTGAGGCCTCTGACTGCAGAGTTTTTCAGGATGCCAGTCGTCACTTACATGTGCTCTCTCCATGGAATCGTTGACAAAGGGGTGGGATGGACATCCAGCCAAGTTGACCTTCTTCGGTCTCTCCTACTCCACAAGACTGTGATTGCCAAGTTTGAGTACCAAAGTGTCCCTGAGGGAGTTTACTATGTTACCCTCTATGGTGATGACAATGCAAACCTGAATAATTTATTTGGTTCTAAAGAAAACTGTTTGCTTGAGTGTGAAAAAACACTTGGAGATTATGCCATCCGAACCATCGCAGACAACCACCAATTTCGGTCTCGACAAGAACAAAATAAATTACCTTTTCAACTGACTGTGGAAAAAAATGGTGCAAAAATAGTACATAAGCCTTCCGTCATGACTCTTGCTTTGAACTCTTCAAGCCTAGCGACTGTTGAGCACATATCCAACCCATTAGAGTTTTGGATCCAAACTGAGAACCACAGAGCAGATTTGGATGAACTGTTTAAAAATATGCACTATCTGTACCAAGACTCTGCAAACACACATGTGTTGAAAAATCCAACTCTAGGACTTTACTGTGCTGCCCAGGCAGAAGATGGTGAATTCTACAGAGCAACAATAATGGAACTAAGTGAGACACAAGTTACAGTGTTTTTTGTTGATTATGGAAACACTGAAGTGGTTGATAAAAGTGACATCAAGACCCTCCCTCCTGAGTTCAAAAAGATTCCACAACTTGCGCAGAAATGCTCCCTGGCTGGTGTCAAACCCAAAAATGGGAAATGGAGTGAAAGTGCCTTGGACTTTTTTACCCAGGCAGTCACAAATAAAGTACTAAATGTACACGTGAAAGAAAAGTACAGTCAAGGCTATGTTGTCCAGCTAACTGATGCCAAAGCACAGGGTGAAAAAGATGTAGGTAGACAGATGTGTAGTTTGGGTCTTGCCGAAAACATTGAGATTCAGAGAGAGCCCACAGTTAAAAGTTCCATAAAAACTACTGATACAAGTCCAACATGCCCTGCAAGACTCCTAGGGGATTTTAGGAATAGTGGAAACATTTTCCAATGCCCATTTAGTTTGTTCAGCAATGAGAGAAGTTGTGCTACCTTTAGGGAATACATGTTCCCCATTGGTAGTGTCCTTGATGTGAGTGTGTCCTATGTTGAAAGTCCAAATGACTTCTGGTGCCAGCTGGTACAAAATGTTGGACACTTGAAATTGCTCATGAGTGACCTACAGGCTCATTATGCAGGCAGCATGTTTGAGCCCAACATAGAAATCGCTTGTGTTGCTCAACACCCCGACAATAAAATGTGGTACAGAGCCCTTGTGATTCACAGACATGAAACCCCTCATGTGGACGTGTTGTTCGTTGACTATGGACAGACTAAAACGGTCTCCATCTATGACCTCAGGAGAATTTGTACAGAATACCTCGCTCTGCAAGGCCAGGCATTTAGGTGCAGTCTGTTAAACCCCATCACTCCCACATCTGCTATAAATGAGTGGAATGAAGACGCTAATGTACGATTTCAAACTTTTGTTGAAACGTCTGCTTCCAAATTTGTTATTTTGAAATGCACAATTTATGCCGTCATGTACAATGAGCAGATGATTGCTTACAACATTGTAGATCTAGAAACCCCTTTTGAAAGTATCTGCACTAGTATGGCCAACCTTATCACAAGCGTTTCTCCCAAAAGAGATGTTGGACCATCTTTCCGACTGGACACATACTACTACTCGACCCACAATGTCAAAATAGGTACAGAGGAACAAGTCACAGTGACATGCGTGAACAGTGTCAATCAGTTCTATTGCCATCTTGACAAGAACGCTGATGTGACACAAGATCTCCAGATGAAAGTGAACAGCCTCTGCCAGCACCTCGCAAAGGTAAAGTTTCCAAAAGTCTTTGGAACTTTGTGTTTTGCAAAATACACTGATGGACAGTGGTACAGGGCTCAGATCAAGACTACAAGACCAGCAATTTTGGTTCAGTTTGTGGATTATGGTAATACAATGGAGGTGGACAAGTCTGACTTGCTTCCAATTCCCAAAGAGGCAAATGAAATCTTGTCAGTACCTGTACAAGCAGTTTTGTGTGGTCTCTCTGACATTCCTGCTAATGTTCCCAGTGAGGTGAACGAATGGTTGGCGACGGCCGCAGCAAAATGCCAATTCCAAGCACTAATAGTGGCCAGAGAACCTGATGGCAAATTAATGGTAGAGCTGTATCATAGAAATATTCAGATCAATTCCAAGATTAAAAGAGAGTTTCAGATTGAAGCTCAAACAGCAGAGGTTGTCAACCAGGGCTGGAAAGCTCGAGAGCTTTCAGCAAACCCTGCACAAAAGACATCAAAAACTCATTTGAACCAAGCTACAGATAATGAATACCATAAACAAGCTCCAAAGAAGAATACGTTTTCAGCCCCAAGACCCCCACATCAAATTAAGACTAAAGAGAAACCTGCTGATGTGAATGTGAAGTGGGCACAGAAACCAGCACATTATCATTGTGACAATGGTAAGAAGATCAGACCAGCTCCTTTACAGCTGTACAAACCTCCGCACCAAAGGCCGTCTCATGAAGCAATGCCAAATGTCTCTCAGCCAGCTGCTGATGAAGTAAAACCAAAAAGAGAGAACTTACCTTTTGACACCAAACACCTACAATCACTTGAAATAAAATCCTACAAAGAAAACCATTCTGAAAACCTCCCTAAACTGTCAGACCTGCCTTCAAATACTATCACACCTGGTGTGGCAGTGGATGTTTTTGTGTCACATTTCAACAGTCCTTTGAGTTTCTATGTGCAGTGTGTCAGCAAAGAGGATGCAATATTTTCTTTGGTGGAAAAGCTCAATGGCTCAGAATTGAATTCAAGAGGCAAGATCAGAGATGTGCATCCAGGGGACCTTGTTCAAGCAGAGTTTGCAGAAGATTTGTCATGGTATCGAGCTGTTGTAAAAGAAATCCATGGAGATAGATTGGCTCTTGTTGAGTTTGTAGATTTTGGTAACACAGCAGTGACACCATTTTTCAAAATGGGCAGGCTCCACACGTCTCTCTTGCAGTTGCCAGTTTACAGCACACAATGTATGCTGAGTGACGCTGCAAATCTTAGAGAAGAAAGAGTGCTCGATCCAGAAGTGGTGTCTGCATTCAAGGAAGACATTGGTTGCTGTGGAGGGAAGATACTACGGTGTCAGTTCATCAGACAGGTGGGATCCGTGTGGGAGGTAAGGCTGGAAGACAGTGGTGTGGATATTGTTTGTAAAGTACCATCTGGAGATGGTAAAATCACCACTAAGACACAAGTGAAGGTGCAGCCAGCTCAGATCTCTGACCTCAGGCAAGAGGTTGAAAGCCCAGAAAAATCATCAGTAAACCTCAGTTTTCTACGATACCCACAGCAGCAAGATCTTATAGAGGGCCAGCAGCTAGAGGCCTACATCACAATTGTCAACGATGGTCTTACATTTTACTGTCAGTCTGCTGATTCAGAGGAACTCAACAAGATAACATTAAGTGTATCAGAATTTGCAAATACTGTAAATAAACAGATTGACCCAGATAATTTATCCCCTGGAACCCCATGTATCGCCCTCTTTTATGATGATAAGCTTTGGTATCGTGCAGAGGTCATTAACAGTGAGAGAGACGAGTTGTCCGTTCTATTTGTGGACTATGGAAACACGTCTCAAGTCAGCATTACAGATGTCAGAGAAATGCCACCCCTCTTGGTGGAAATTCCACCACAGGCTTTTCTATGTGAGCTTGAAGGCTTTGATACTTCATGTGGCTCTTGGGACAGCACTGCAGAAGACAAATTGTCTGCACTGACATTAGACAAACTGTTAAAGCTGGCTGTCACCAGAGTTATAAGATCTGATGAAAAAAACAAGTGTTTTGTGCACATGCACTGTGGAGGACAGGCAATAAATGATGTCATGAAAACTTGGTGGAAGTGCCATACTACAGCAGACACACCTGACTCAGACGGACCAATCGCTTTATCGGAACCTCCCCCTCAGCTCGACTCTGCTGCTTCTGTACCAGAGGATCAGCTAAAGCATTCTGATATGCAAGATGTGTTTAGTACTGCAACATGTTCTTACCCTCAGAGTCAGAAATGCAAGGAACAAAGTGCAAAGGAACTCATTGACACTTCTGTGGCTGATGAGGTCCTTAACTTAGTAGAAAGTCCAAAGCACCAAGAATGCTCTGAAGATTCTGTTCAGTTGGAGTCTTTTGTCCAGTCCACCAAGGAGGAACAGGATTCCACTGAGGGTGATGATATAGTCACTGAAATTGTGATGGCCCCTAAGGATATTTTGTCATGTGATGGAGACACGGATGAAACATTCCTGACAGTTGTTGACAAAGACGATCAAGATGATTCGTTTATGAGCTCAACAGTGACTGTGGCCACCGGTGAAGGAGCTGATGAGGAGAGTACCTCAGTGGTTCATGCTCATGAGGAAGATGGCTTTGATTCTCCACTGAAGGAAAATATTTCAGAGCCTATGGGTGAGCTGGACACTAAAACCGCTGACACAGAAAATTCTTCAGCTGATAACTTGGACAAAGAGCCTTTTTCAGGTAAGCAAGATAGTAATTTATTTTTCTTCTGGTTAATTCCATGCTAGTTGATCAAATGTCTGCATTGATTTACTGTTTAAATTTTGGAGAATCTTATCGTTTCTCAGTTGTCAGTAACCATTAAAAAAACTTTATATTTAATTTTTATTTCTCTTCTCCCCCCCCCCAATTTATTCATTTATTTATTTCTTTAGATATGGCCAATGTAAGATGTGACAAAGTTGCTGTTTCCAGGGGTAACTCTTCAACGAGAGTGAAGATGGTAAATTGAAGTTTCGGTTATGACTTCTTTAAGGATTACTGCTAACACTGACTGGAGATGTCTTTCAGTGATTTCAGATGAATATAAATAGATAAGCTAATGACTGATGCTCTTTTTTTAAGGTTCTGCAAAAAGCTGCTCTTGTAGAAACAACAAAGACTACGTTTAAGCTCGCTGAAGAGGTACAGTGACTAAATATTTTAATCTTCACCAATTGTATTTATCATTTGTGTAAATTTAAAGATGACCTTAATCTTCAAACAATTTTAAGATTTTATATTTGGTCTTTTGATTTTCTAATTTTGTCTACTTTGTCTAAATCAGACAAATTTAATTGCAGCAGCAGATTCATAGGCTTTATTTGTAAATTTAAAGTAGTTTTTTGGGTCTTATACCCGCCCTCACCACTTTTTGGAGTAAGAAAACAGTTTGAATATCAAATATTAACAACACAAGAAATACTCAAGTATTCGTTGTGTGGTCTAGCATCGTTAAGATCTGATCCCTTTGAGTAAAATAATCATCTTAATGCAGATGTATGTCAGTCTGGGAAATAAAAATATTGAGCGATGTCACGCCCCACAGTTTTGAGAACTACTGACTTAAGTTTACATTATTAGCCATCATTAACAGTCATAAGGTTGAGGTGTGCCTACGTCACTTTCCCTTCTCCAACTCAGCAGGGCATTCAGCCAGTCTGAGGGTCGACATCCAATCTAGGCTCCACCTACTTAGCATGCATTGGTCCAGCCATTTGTCTTCATCAAGAGCTAACTGGATTGTTTTCATTAGTATTACTGCACATCACAATGCCATATCAATGAGCCAACGTGTTTAGTTTGATATTTTTTCATCCCATTAGGCTGAACTGGTGCCTACCTCACTTGATCTCCCAGTACAGATTTGTGGTGAGTGCATTCTTCATTTTGTCATGCATCAATAAGTCGAGTCAAATTTATTTGTAGAGCACATTTAAAACAAACTATTACCAAAGTGCTTGAGTTTTGGTTCAAACAAAACCGTGTTTAGTAAAAGTTTAAAGTAAGTAAATGGGCTTTTATGTGCTGCATCCTGCCTTTCTGCCTACACTGGTATCAGTTGGAGTGGCTGTGGTAGATCTAAGCTTGTTGGTATTAAACATTTCTACTTGATCTGTCACTAGGGCCAAGATGGTGTAGGGGCAGGGCAGACAACTTGGGACCCAAAGGTCCTGGGTTTGATCCTCGGTCATTGCACATCTCGTGATGTCTCTGAGCAGGACACCTAATTCCGAATTGCTCCCCGGGCGCTTACATAGCTGCCCACTGCTCCACCTGGGTGCATCCCAGGTGCGACGGGTTAAATGCAGAGAGCCAGTTTCGTCTTTGCATGGAAATAGGGGTGTAATGGTACGCTAAAACCACATTTTGGTTTTGTTCAGTTTCAAGGAGGGCTTGGTTCGGTTAATTTTCGGTACAAAAAAGGCCAAAATAAAGACTTACAAAATGTTTATTTTGAAAATATGTCAAGAAAACAAGTTCAGTCCTTACAGACTTCTTATCTGGAGGTGATCTGGTGAACGAAGAAGACTCAGCTGCTATCATCCTCAGACGGCAAACAACACAGACATAAAAAAATATTGAGTTAATGAGATTATAATTTTAAATTAAAAATGTTAATTAGATCACAATGTAGATGAACATATACCTGTGATATATTCATAAATTAAACGGATTCATTCATTTTTCTGGACTGAATAATATCGTGCATTGAATAATTAAAATGTAACGTGAGACGTTAATTTTCTTTGACCCATCAAATGAATGCGGTCATTTATTAACAGAATCAAAGTTTAACATCAAACATTTACATTAATTTGGCAAAATTGAAAATAACAACAGCTTAATTAATTAGCTTTACAGTCAGGAAAACCATACGGCCATGGTTTTCCATTGCTTCACAACAGACATTTCTGAAAATATCTGGAATGATTTCTAGCAAAATAGAAGAGTTTAAAGATGGAAATGAAGTTTAAATGGAGAGGAAAAGATGGATGAGGGAAATGTGTCAGTATCAGGACGGCACGCTCCGTTGAGATCCCAGCTTCCTCCTCGGTACACTTAGGTGGTGTAAATCAACTCTTTACCTGTAGCAGGTGTCTCTACTGGTACGGAGTTCCATTTAACGCACCCTTTCAGCGTCTCTGTAGGAACAGCTGTGAATCGTCCGAAGTAGTGCCGGTATTCCGTCCGACACAGGTTCACCTCTCGGTGGACTCACAAGCGGAGTAAGTCCGTCAGAGTTCCACTCAGATGTGGAAGATTGCGTAATTCCCACGAGACTCGGAAGAACTCCGGATCATGTCTGGAACTCCTGTTCTCTCCAGCACTTCTCTGTTCGGTTTGCTCTCCGAACCGAACTCGACTGCACTAGCTCTGGTTTGAACTAGGAAGTGCCGACATTTAAAGAGTTCTATTTCCGGTTCATTTGGGAAGTTCCTGATTGGTCGATCGACCAGACAGGGGTGTGTTTTTGTGACGTAAGAGGTCACTAGAAGTCAGAAAAACAGAAAGAATGTTTTGGAACAGACTGAAGATGTTTTTGAGACAGACGAGAGGAATGTTTAGGCGAGTTGGGGGAAAACAGGTGCCAGCCTCTCTATTTACGTCTGAGAGGATATAAAAACATGACAGTTCGTTCCAACAACTTGTTTTGCGTTTGACTCCGACATTTGACCGACATCACAACTTGCTCATTTCAGACAGAAAATCAGAAAATGCATGAATTACTCCGTAACACATTCTAACTTGATCTCTACTTTGAATGAGGATTAAAAAAAAATCATTAACTGTTTCACAGTTAATTTAAAATGAGTAGTTCACTTCAACATTTAAAAATGGTTTGAACTAAACACACTTTGATTATCAAGAAATTTGTAAAATAGTAATGATAATAAAAGAAAGTGTTCTTTCAATTGATCAGTGCAGGACAAGAGAAAGTCTCTGGATGAACTTAATCTTGTGTTTCTGGACTCAAATCAATGAAATACAGTTCTTGTCCCAGGAAGGCCCTCAAGGCCAGGACTTGACCTGAGGCTTAGTTCACTACAACAATAATACAATACCTCTTCTTGCATGGTCATCATATGAGATGGTTGAATATTCTCTAATGATTGTCTACTGTTGTACTGATAAATATCTCCTGCAGGATAAACTATATCTTGGCTGCAAGTGTCAAGCTGTGAAATCCTTCATTTTCTACAGCTGATAGTGGTTGGTCATTAATTATGATGAAGTTTAGTAACTTCTCGGTAAACATTCAAGCTCCGTGGCTTCAGCGATGTCTTCTTCTTGTTCAGTCCAAAGCAAGCAGTCTGATTTTGGTCAGCCGCGCTCAGTCTGTCCCTCCTCATAGACGGTGTCTGCTTTCCGATGAGCAAAGGTAATCACTGGAGGTAGCGATAA